ATATATATATATATACACACATATATATATATATACACATATATATATACACATATATATATATATATACACATATATATATATATATACACATATATATATATATATATACACATATATATATATATACATATATATATATATATATATATATATATATATATACATATATATATATATCTTAAATGCGTAATACGAATAATATTTTCTTATTCTAGAAGGGTTGAAAATAATAAAAAGGAAAGTTTGAAAGAAATGGGTGCAGGAAGAAAAAAGCATATGAAATGTTTAATCCATAACCTACAAGTCAATATAATCCAAACACTATAAAGATCACTCAACGGTTAAACTTATTTTCATATATATATTTACATTCTTTCATGTTATTGAGTAATAACATGTTCACATTATAAATTGAAGGACACTATTAATCAAAAGATATAATTTTTGCTACAAATTATTATAATTGTGGCAAGATGGTAAAAAAAATAGCTAATTCCTTTCTATGATGCCCTCAAAATTATGAATTTGTTAAAATCACTTAATACTTGTATTATTTGCAAGAACATTAAATGTATTCATGACAACCTTTAAAAAATAATTTAATGTCTGCGTTCACTCGGCGTTGCATAATAGAATAAGTCCAACGGATAGTCTAAGATCAAACAGTGCCACGTTGCATGCTTCTTTGAAATTCTCCAAAAAATATTCAAACAAGTGTTTCTTTAATCTTTCAATTTCCAACAAGAACTAGTCTTCTTCTAAGGGATCCTTCCACATAATCATTACATATCTTCCTTCAAATTTCCTTTTCAAACTTGCTCATTGACCACTTCGTATATTTTCTCATGTGTGTTATAATATATATATGTAAAGTATCAATCAAAGAACACACATGCACCCCCCACAAGCCAAATCGAACTAAATTTTCACAAGATATTCAAAGGTCAAAATCTACATCCATCAACTTCTTCATAATCTTTCAAAGTTGAAATCATGCAAAACCAACAACAAGGTATCATCAACCCTAAGTATTGTTCTCCACATAATGTTGACCTAGCAATTGTCAGAAAGGTATTAACGTTAACTGATACTTTTTCCGTCACCGACGTTAATAGCAAAATGATCTTCAACCTTAGTTCCTCTCTCATGACCCTCCACAACCACCGTGTCTTGGTTGACGCCGCCGGCCAACCCGTCGTCACACTGCGTCGGAAGGTTTGATAATCTATGTACCCTTTTATTTTATATCTTTATTTCTTCTTCCTTATTACTTTGTTTAGCTTTTTAATTGGTGAAGAATATGAATTAACAAAAACTTTGATGTATGTTGTTTTCTCATAGTTCGATAATCAAAATTACAACTTAGATCCACTCTCCGATTTTGTTTAGAAGCTTGTGGTTAAATCATCATGTTTCAATAGTTTTATGAAACGATTCGGATTTTTTTATGTAGATGACGACAACTCATGATCGGTGGCAAGTTTTTCGAGGTGAAAGCATGGAGATGAAAGATTTGATCTTTAGTGTGAAGAGATCGTCGTTTTTTCAGTTAAAGACAAAATTGGATGTTTTCTTAGCAAACAATACTAGAGAAGAAGTTTGTGACTTTAAGGTAAAAGGAAGTTGGTTCGAGCGATCTTGTGTTGTGTATGCTGGTGAATCTCTCACCATTGTTGCCCAGGTGAACCTTTTGCTCTTTTCCTTTGTATTATAAATATAAAATTTTAATGTTCGAGGAACTATCTATGTTAATGACATAACCTCAGACTTTGTAATTTCATCATAATATTTTTAGTATTAAAATTATGTCTGAAATTGAATGTGAATGTGATTGCAGATGAATAAAAAGCACACTGCTCAAAGCATTGCGTTTGGGAAAGATAATTTCATGGTTACAGTGTATCCAAACATTGACCATGCATTCATAGTGGCACTGATTCTGATTCTGGACGAAATTAACCAAGACAAGAGACAATCTCAGAATTGATTATTAATATTCAGCATTTTGGGTTCCCTAGTTCTCATCAAAATGTTCATTCGAGACAAAAATTGTGACATAAGAAGAGTAGTCTCAATTCCTTGCCGTCCTGTATTTGCTTTTAATATCATAATATTTTTATTAGTTTATTTCCTCTTTTTGGATAAACATAAAATTTACAAAACAAAAAGTGCGTTTTATAATTATTATTCAAATTTTTTTAACTGAAAAAATATTTACTGAAAGTTAAATCACCCAACAAAAACTGTTTTCTCCATATAGTTATTGGAGACCAAGTTATGGTCCCCGACTTCTAAAAAGTCCGTATTCTGTTCTATGAAATACCGGTTTGAAATATATTTGTTGATTATTTTATACTTACAGCTATTTAGAGATGAAATTTTAGATTTTAAATTTTAATTAGAAGTCGTTAAAAATTAATCTTTAAAATATACGCTGAAATAAAAGTTTGATGGAAAATTATAATTCAAATTAAATTAAATAATATAATATTAGTATAAATAAAATTATTATTTTAAATACAAATTTAAAATAAGTTCCACCACATAGTATATATCTTTAAATAGAATTAACATTTTTTTAAACAAAATTATTCTATTAGTTTAAATAAAAAATATATGTCTACAAAAAAAATTCTAAACAATTCGTTTATTAAAATTTTGTATATTCTCACTTTCTTTTGCAGTTTTCCTTTTTCTCATGCTTCCTTGTTTTCTTTCTCTCTTTCTCTTGTCATAGCTAAAAACTTTGAATTTTTCTTTCAAACCCCATTTTTGTGCAACCAAAACAAAGAGTGTTTGTGTTGTGTCTCAATCTCTTAGCTCCATCTACACGAAAAAGATGAATGTGGTGAGAGTGTTGTTCCCTCCACCACCACACACTGCTACACCTTTCCAAATTTTGTTTTAATTTCAAAATTACCTTTTAACTTTTAACATTTATCCTTTTTAACTTTTATGTCAAAATCCTAATTATCCTAATTATCCTACACCTACATGTAACATCTTTCATACTTTCCTACTTTTTCTCTTTCTCTTTTACCAAAAACTCATCTTATCCTTTCCTCCTTTACTACCAACAAGAAGAAAACTCCCTGTTATTAATTTCCCAAACACTTCTCGCCACGCTCCTCCCGTACCCTTGCCCATTCTCAAACCGTCAACTATTTTATCTTCATTAAATCATCCATCTTTTTCCCAACAATTCTCACACACTATTTTTCTATCTTCCTTTCTCCTCACCAACAAAGTTCAAAACAACATCCACTCTCCTCTTATCAAAATCCATTTTCCTTTTTAACTTGAAACCCCACCATTCCACTTTACCATTTTTTTTCTCTTCCTCTTACCAAAACTCACATACCACAATCACTACTCTCTTCTCCCTTTTCTATTTTCTTCTTTTCTCCATTCTTTCCTTTTTAATTTCTTACGTAATTATATCTAAATTAATTTTATGTTATTTAATCAAATAATTATTATTAGTTTAATTATAATTAATTGATTTTGTTTTGAAAAATCACAGCAAAAAAGAATCACACTAGGGGAGAAGAAAATAAAGAGCAATTTGATTTATGTGAAAGTCGTGGAGTGTGAGGGTGCATTGATATAGTGGTGAGGACCATTAAATAGATTGAATGAAATAGTTTGATATTGGTGAAAATAAAAACATAAATTAAAATTTTATACAAAGACAAAAGAATAATAGAGAGGTACAGGGACCGCTGTGTTGTGGTGGAGGGAGCAAGCGGTGAATGTGAATTTCGTAACCAATTTGAGGCTATAGCGAAGGGACTCTTCTTGCTATTAGAGGACGATGTAGGGCACTGTTCCTTTCAAACTTATGAAGTTATGATTATCATCGCGATCCATTAAGGTGCGTGTAAAACTTGATATCATGCTTTTACTTCTTGCACTCCCACGATTTCTTTGTGCAGCCCTCAAATTTTCAAAATTTTGCTTTCCGATAAGTGATTTTCGGATTATATAATCGTAACAAACTTTTCAGATTTTTCAAAAATAATTAAAAATGAAATTTTTGGGATATGAGTTTCCGGAATGATTGAAATGTATTTTGGAATAAATTTAGAATAAAATTTCCAGAAAAAACTTTCCAGAACTCATAATGTCTTTTGGGATGAGTTTCCAGAAATATTCTTCCATGAAATGTATTATTAAAAAAAAAAAACCTTTTAGAACACAGGTGTTTCGAAACACGTGAAATATATTCTGAAAAGAGCTTTCAGGAATGAGTTTTTTGTCGCATTTTCTCTCGTTTTCTTTCATTGTAGGGTTTTATCACTCTTATTCTTCCTCAGCAAGGGTGATGATGATGACTGTCACAGCAGGTACAATAGTATGATATGGTGCAATGTCAAAGGATATTTGAGTCTTTTTCTCTTATTATGTGAGTGTGGATAATAATTATGGGTTGCAGGAAACAATATGGTCCATAAGAATTGATAACAAAATGATATATATGAAATATGTTGTTTGGATGATTGTAATACATTTCCTCCTTATAGGTCACCACACATTGTGTCATATACCAAATTTTAAATCAATATAGACCATTTACATTATATAAGCATTCTCAGAGGAAGGTTTCGCAAAATATTTTGTTAAAAGTTATGTTAGATATTTTATTAAGGCGTACCAGTACCAGGCGTTCACCTCTCTGGTCACTGCTTGCCAAAGTTCCCAACCCAGCCGATGGAGACTCCCAGTCTGGTCAGTGTACAGTTTGACACCTGGAGACGGAGGAAAAGTACAGGGAGAGGGAGGAGAAAAACTTGACATGAAGATGCAAGGAAGGAGAAGAGGGAGATGAAGGGAGAGAAGCAGGGAAATATTGACTCAGTGTCAGAAAAAGAAAAAATGATGTGGCACATCGATAGCCAGGTCAGCCTAATTTTAACAGCGCTAGTTTTGGAGGACGACAAATTATAGTTTCTTTAAGGACAAAGATTCAAGTGTATCAAAGTTTGAAAGAGTGACTAAATCTAAGATTGCATTATAGTTAAGGGACTAAAAGAATATTTAAGCATAAATATATGTTATAATATGTATTCACTGTAATTTCAATTTTGCCACGTATCCAATTTATTATGATAGGTGATCTTTTACCTATCATAATACATGTAATTTTCATTACGAAAATGTTACCGCTACATCTATTATGATAGATTTTTTAAAATACGTCATAATATATCTTAGTTTTATTACAAAATTGTCATCGGTCAATGTATTATGATAGATGAATTTCACCTATCATAATAAGCTGTTATGAAATCCTCTTTTTCCACTAGTGTCATGCACCAACTTCAGTGGAGGTGTTAAGATATAACATATATTTTGTTAATTAAAATTTAGGTATTATTATAATTTGTGCAGATGTCATTGTTTTAATAAATGAAAAATCATAAAACCATTATATATATATATAATACACTAATATCTGAAATAATACAAAATTATTCTTTAAACTTTTTTATAATGTCACTTGCTACATAATACCATTATGTAAATAATTTGGGAATGAATAGACTGTGATGCTAGAAATATAGTCAAAGTTATTTATGGCTCCTAAAGATTTCTTCCGCATCACCTATATTTATTGAAAGTATCATATGGTTCTTTTACAGGATGCGGGTATACCAGAAGAGAACAAATTATCATTTTTGGCTATGTTCATAATAGTTAAAATCATATCATTAAAAAAAGACCTTGAAACTTTTTGTTGCAGTTGTTCTGCTGTCTCTAAACTTTAAAACTATTAGCAGAAATAGAAATAGAGTACTGGTTGTCAGGTTCCAGAGATCGACTCTTTCTCTATATAATAAAATGTTATTATTAAATTTTCATATCAATACAATAAATTAAATTTTTTCCTTATATAATGTTATCATTGTCATTTTATGTTTATTTTAACCAAGGTAAGGCGAAAAAAGCTTCTTAATGTTACAAAAATTTGAATTTCTTCTTATCTGATACTATTTTTTTTATCTTATAGATTATAAAAATAAAAAGTGAAAGTTTAGTGAGTATTCAATTTCTGTTGAAGTACAATTAGAGCAACTTCCACTTGTAAGATTACTTACTCACTATCTTTTGATCATACAATATTAAAAGAATTCCTATGTGTGAGGAGGAAGGTAAGCAAAGAGGGGATAGAAATTGATTAACAACAACACTAGAAACAACACTAGAGAGTTATAGAGTTCTTCAAAGCATTCTTGGGAATTTGGTAAAGTTTCTTTTTATCCTACCATATTAATTTGATATTGGATAATGGATAATATATTGTGAATGAATATACATAAAGAAGGAACAAGAAGTAAATGGGGTGGTTAGTGGCAATTACATATTGCATAAATGAAAAATCTAGGTTNTTTGGATAAACATAAAATTTACAAAACAAAAAGTGCGTTTTATAATTATTATTCAAATTTTTTTAACTGAAAAAATATTTACTGAAAGTTAAATCACCCAACAAAAACTGTTTTCTCCATATAGTTATTGGAGACCAAGTTATGGTCCCCGACTTCTAAAAAGTCCGTATTCTGTTCTATGAAATACCGGTTTGAAATATATTTGTTGATTATTTTATACTTACAGCTATTTAGAGATGAAATTTTAGATTTTAAATTTTAATTAGAAGTCGTTAAAAATTAATCTTTAAAATATACGCTGAAATAAAAGTTTGATGGAAAATTATAATTCAAATTAAATTAAATAATATAATATTAGTATAAATAAAATTATTATTTTAAATACAAATTTAAAATAAGTTCCACCACATAGTATATATCTTTAAATAGAATTAACATTTTTTTAAACAAAATTATTCTATTAGTTTAAATAAAAAATATATGTCTACAAAAAAAATTCTAAACAATTCGTTTATTAAAATTTTGTATATTCTCACTTTCTTTTGCAGTTTTCCTTTTTCTCATGCTTCCTTGTTTTCTTTCTCTCTTTCTCTTGTCATAGCTAAAAACTTTGAATTTTTCTTTCAAACCCCATTTTTGTGCAACCAAAACAAAGAGTGTTTGTGTTGTGTCTCAATCTCTTAGCT